ACACACCACACGCACACACACAGACACACACACAGACACACGCAGACACACACAGACGACACACACACACAGACAGCACGCTAAGCACTACACTACCGTTCCCCCTACACAAACACACGCGCGCGCGTCCATAGGTACACATACACGCGCTTGCTGCAGACACACACGACTTCAGGGTGCGTAAGGCAGTAACGACTGAAAAAATAAAGCCGGCAATGCTGTGCGAGGAACGCCTTAGACCAGCAACACATTTGTGTAATGCGAGCGTAAACACACAAACACATACAAACACATACACACACATACACACAAACACATACACACACATACACACACATACATACACACAGGCATACACATACACACAAACACACACATACATGCACACAAACACATACACAATACCACACACATACATGCAGACACAGAAGACACATAACACACATACATACACACACATACATACACAAAAACACATACACACACATACATAGACACACACATACATACACACAAACACATGCACACACGTACATACACACATACATAGAGACACGCAGACATACACATAAAGACATAAAAAAAACCCACATACATACACACACACATACACACAAACACATACATACACATACATACACACATACATAGAGACACACAGACATACACATAAACACAAACACACATACACATGACCCGGCTTCGCCCGGGACTTGGATCCACGATGCCCCGCCGCCTTTGTCTCCCCAGTGACGATGTTCACACACGACAGCAGTTACGCGTTTGAGGCTGAGTGGACCTAGGGGAGGGCCAGGTCCGTTTCAAATAATCGTCAGCGGTGGTGGGCGTGAGTTGGAATCGAACTGGGGTCGCTCAAGCAGCTTAATGACTGTTTGTACAAAGAACATATAAAGAATCGATTATAATAACCAGGCTACAGTCCACATTATAGACTGCCAGTACACGCAGTCAGCTTCATAAGCAGGCTAGAGTGTACATGATAGAGTGGCAGTACGCTCACCGAGCTTAATAAGCAGGCTACAGTGTACATGATAGACTGGCAGTACGCTCACCCAGCTTAATGAGTATTTGTACAGTGAACATTAAAGTAATCGATTGTTGGCGCGTTGGGTTTAAAAGTAATATTAATAGCACACATTGTGGTGGGGGTGTAGTGAAGAGTAGGAAAAACTTTGATGAATTTACCTCAGAGTGGCGTGGTGGGTGTCGAGGCCTAGTAGCGTGCAAAGCCTGCGGCCTCGCCTAAAATTGTCAGCTTGGAAGAGGCAGGGTACGGGTGGCGTTCCTTCCCCCCCCCCTCAGCGCTCCAACAATAATGTGTAATTGCTATTATTTAATTAAATACGGAGCTTATGAAAGTGGCGAAGGCGTGGCTAGCCGTTGGCAGAAGCAACCGCCGTCCAATGAAACTGCAGCCCTTGGCGAAGGCGTCGCTAGCCGTTGCCAGGTCCAATGAAAGCGGCGAAGGCGTGGCTAGCCGTTGCCAGGGGCAACCGCCGTCCAATGAAAGTGCGTATGGGCCGAAATACACACACACACAGACAGACAGACATGAACGATTTTATATATATATAGATAGATGTCCTCGCTTAGAGAGTTTGCGACAGTTGTACAATGTTGTTGTCACTAGCGAGACATTCCACAGTGAACCCATTCCCTACCACATTTAATCAATTATCTTTATGTGAAATTACGTTATAAGATTTAAGTTAATTTTTTAAACGGCTGCCCACAAAGGGTGGTGGGGTGGGGGTTAGAGGCCGACCGAAACTGAGTTTCTGGTTTCGGCCGAAACCGAAAGTTACAAATTGACTTTCGGCCGAAACCGAAACTTTGCCGAAAGAGGCTATTTGCCAACTTTCGTCGCCGAAACCGAAACCGAATTTTGATCGGCCTCTAGTGGGGGCGGGTGGGGGGCAACCAAAGAGTCACCGCAAGTAACCGCTGTTAAACCGCAGGTTGCCGAACCCCTGGACGAGCAACAACGCCAGCAACAGTTCGAAGCAACCGCGTGAAACCACGTCGCATTGTGTCCGTGTAAGGTATTCGATTTGTCACGTGGTCCACGCAGTTGTGTTTTTTTTGGGGGGGGGGGGGGGGCGGCGATTCCTGTTCGCTCCCTTGCCCTTCCCGTTCTGTTCAGTTTTTTTTTTACTTTTGCCAATGTTGGTATGAGAGTCTCATCACATCCCTCACAATGGCGACTCTCAAAGCTTCATATTCTTAGGTTTTTTCGGTAAAGTCACGTAGGTAAAAAAATTAAAATTAATACAGCTATCGTGCTGTGACGGTTCCACCTGAAGACGGAAGCTTGTGTTGCCTCCGAAACGTCGTGATTTTTATTAAATTTTTATTTGACTTTTAAAAATTGTAATTTTAAATGTCTTACCTACGTGACTTTACCGGAAAAAACCTAAGAATATTAATCCTTGCAGTCACGAAAGCTTCAAATCTAGAACTCTCGAAGCTGTCAACCCGTACGGGTTAAACCCCGGGTTCTTCTTGTACAGGGAAATTCAGTGTTCAAGTCCACACGGCGTACTGCCGTTTCGATAGGGGCAAAAACAAAATTAGCGTCAATTTGTTTGTGTTTCTCATCCCTTGTAAAGGGACTTTGTAGGATGAACGTTGAAGTTTATAACGGGCACGGGGTGACCAGTAAGGTCTGAATTGGGCTGTAATAAGATAGGGCACTGATAAAGGGTATGTAGTGTAGTGTAAAGTGTAGTGTATAGTAGTGTAGTGTATAGTGTAGTGTATAGTAGTGTAGTTTGTAGTGTAGTGTATAGTGTAGTGTATAGTGTAGTGTATAGTGTAGTGTATAGTGTAGTGTATAGTAGTGTATAGTGTAGTGTATAGTGTAGTGTATAGTGTATAGTGTAGTGTATAGTGTAGTGTAGTGTATAGTGTATAGTGTAGTGTATAGTAGTGTATAGTGTATAGTAGTGTATAGTAGTGTATAGTGTAGTGTATAGTAGTGTATAGTGTAGTGTATAGTGGTGTAGTGTATAGTGTATAGTAGTGTATAGTGTAGTGTATAGTGTATAGTAGTGTATAGTGTAGTGTGTAGTGTATAGTTTAGTGTATAGTAGTGTATAGTGTAGTGTAGTGTATAGTGTAGTGTATAGTAGTGTATAGTGTATAGTAGTGTATAGTAGTGTATAGTGTAGTGTATAGTAGTGTATAGTGTAGTGTATAGTGGTGTAGTGTATAGTGTATAGTAGTGTATAGTGTAGTGTATAGTGTATAGTAGTGTATAGTGTAGTGTGTAGTGTATAGTTTAGTGTATAGTAGTGTATAGTGTAGTGTATAGTGGTGTATAGTGTAGTGTATAGTAGTGTAGTGTATAGTAGTGTAGTGTATAGTGTAGTGTATAGTGTAGTGTATAGTAATACGGGGTTTACAGGTGTGGACTCTCATCCTTGGATCCTCTAAGTTCTCACCCGGGGTTGAAAAAAAAACAATACATATGGCAAATATGCAGGCAGTTACCGAACCCTCCTTCATTTCCTCATTCATAACGCCGATTCATTCCTTCCTATCGAGCTGTGGTCTTCAACGGCACTCGGGCAGTCGTGACATCTGCCGAGTGATTCTGCAGTCCTGTGTTGAAATGTGGCAGTTGAGAGGTCACTGAAGTTTTACGCAATACGCACTACACACACAACATACACACGCACACACACGCGCACGCACACACACGCGCGTGTGTGTAGTGGGGAGCGGTGGTGTAGCGGTTAGCGCGCTGTGCTATGAACCCGGCGACACGGGTTCGATTCCCGCTCACGGCCAACACTAGTGGCGATTATCTGAACCGGTCCCGGGCCTCCCCTAGGTCGACTCAGCCTCAAATGAGTACCTGGTGCGGTGTGTAAACATCGCCACAGGAGAGACAAAGGCGGCCGGGCGTGGCGTTGTCCACCCAGCCACCCACGCCCCGATTAGGTCACTCACAAAAAACAGCACTTGCCCCAGCTGCCGCTCAAGGCTACACGGAGATCTTTTGCCTTTGTGTGTTGACACATGCTCGGCACACGACCGGATGAACTCTTTGCCAAGGCAGTACTTTGGTTCGATTACGATAAGGACGCCCACCCCAACGACCAACACAGAAAGACAAAGACTCCCCGTATAACCTTAGCAGATTGTTGGGCCAAGTTCTGTTAGCGAGTGGCACCTATGAAGGCCGGTACGGCACAAGGGGGGGGGGGGGGGGGTGCCCAACACCACGCCCGACCGCCTTTGTCTCCCCAGTGGCGATGTTCACTACACAGTACACACCGCACCTAGTACCCATTTGAGGCTGAGTCGACCTAGGGGGACGCCCAGGACCGGGTCAGATAATCGTCACCGATGTTGTTGGTGGCCGTGAGCGGGGTTCGAACTCGGGTGGCCGGGTTCGTAGCGCAGCGTAGCGCGAACCACTGCGCCACGGCTCCCCCCTCCAACAACGATCCCCCGTATAGCCTTCACAGACTGTAGGGGCAAGTGCTGTTAGCGAGCACCTATGAAGGCCGGAACGGTACACGAGGGGGTAGGTGGTCAGCACCACGCCCGACCGCCTTTGTCTCCCTAGTGGCGATGTTTACACATCGCACTAGGTACTCATTTGAGGCTGAGTCAACCTAGGGGAAGCCCAGGACCAGTTCAGATAATCGTCACTGGGTGTTGGCCGTGAGCGGGAATCGAACTCGGGTCGCTGGGGTTCATAGCGCAGCGTAGCGCTAACCATTGCGCCACCGCTCCCCCCCAACAGACACACACACGCACACACACACACACGTGCAATGTTCCCTGCGATGGCCCCAATGTAGACCGATTCGTGACCTGACCTTGGGGAAGCGGGCGACTCACTAAAACCCGGAGCAGACCCGCAGGAATGCACGGAGCGGAGCTGCTTTTGGTTAGAAACACACAGAGGTGTGGACTCGAGTCATGTGACTTGGACTCGAGTCAGACTCGAGTCATGAATTTGATGACTTGAGACTCGACTTGGACTTGCATAACAATGACTTTGTCCCACCTCTGAGGTGTGGACTCGAGTCATGTGACTTGGACTCGAGTCAGACTCGAGTCATGAATTTGATGACTTCAGACTCGACTTGGACTTGCATAACAATGACTTTGTCCCACCTCTGGAAACACAACAAGTCGACGCCTGCCTCTCTGCTCGCTCCGTGCTCCGTGCCAGGAGGAGAACTCCAATCCGGAGTTTACAGCGATCCACGGGGAGCGGCCACACGCAACCACTGGACGTGATCACGGGCTCGCTGCTCAGCAAGAAGTGTTTCCCCATGTCTCTCCATGTCTCTCTCCCTGTGTGTGTCTCCTTGTCTTCCCCTGTGTGTGTCTCCATGTCTCCCCCTGTGTGTGTCTCCATGTCTCCCCGTGTCAGCCCATGTCTCTGTGTGTTCCCATGTGTCCTCTTTGTCCGGCAATTGAGTCATCTCTTGTCTGGTAGTTGAGACCTCTTGTTTAGTAGTTGAGACCTCTTGTTTAGTAGTTGAGTCCTCTTGTTTGTAATTGAGACCTCTCACCTGGTAGTTGAGACCCCTTATCTGGTAGTTGAGACCTCTTGTTTAGTAGTTGAGACCTCTTATCTGGAAGTTGAGTCCTCTCTTATCTGGTAGTTGAGACCTCTTGTTTAGTAGTTGAGACCTCTTATCTGGTAGTTGAGTCCTCTCTTATCTGGTAGTTGAGACCTCTTGTTTAGTAGTTGAGACCTCTTATCTGGTAGTTGAGACCCCTTATCTGGTAGTTGAGTCCTCTTGTTTAGTAGTTGAGACCTCTTATCTGGTAGTTGATACCTCTTGTTTGTAATTGAGACCTCTCACCTGGTAGTTGAGACCCCTTATCTGGTAGTTGAGACCTCTTGTTTAGTAGTTGAGACCTCTTATCTGGTAGTTGATACCTCTTGTTTGTAATTGAGACCTCTCACCTGGTAGTTGAGACCCCTTATCTGGTAGTTGAGACCTCTTGTTTAGTAGTTGAGACCTCTTATCTGGTAGTTGATACCTCTTGTTTGTAATTGAGACCTCTCACCTGGTAGTTGAGACCCATTATCTGGTAGTTGAGACCTCTTGTTTAGTAGTTGAGACCTCTTATCTGGTAGTTGAGTCCTCTCTTATCTGGTAGTTGAGACCTCTTGTTTAGTAGTTGAGACCTCTTATCTGGTAGTTGAGACCCCTTATCTGGTAGTTGAGTCCTCTTGTTTAGTAGTTGAGACCTCTTATCTGGTAGTTGAGTCCTCTCTTATCTGGTAGTTGAGACCTCTTGTTTAGTAGTTGAGACCTCTTATCTGGTAGTTGAGTCCTCTCTTATCTGGTAGTTGAGACCTCTTGTTTAGTAGTTGAGACCTCTTATCTGGTAGTTGAGACCCCTTATCTGGTAGTTGAGTCCTCTTGTTTAGTAGTTGAGACCTCTTATCTGGTAGTTGATACCTCTTGTTTGTAATTGAGACCTCTCACCTGGTAGTTGAGACCTCTTATCTGGTAGTTGAGACCTCTTGTTTAGTAGTTGAGACTTCTTATCTGGTAGTTGAGTCCTCTTGTTTAGTAGTTGAGACCTCTTATCTGGTAGTTGAGTCCTCTCTTATCTGGTAGTTGACACTTCTTGTTTAGTAGTTGAGACCTCTCACCTGGTAGTCGTCTAGTAGTTGAGTCGGGTAGCCAGGGACGTACCCCCGAGGGTCTCCACGTACTTTGCTTCCAGCTCCACGCGCTGCTCCTCACTGAAATGATTATTCCAATCGCCCACCTCCCCTGCGTGCCGGACACGACACGGCCATTGTGAGCCACACGACGCGGCCATTGTGAGCCACGCGATGCGGCCATTGTGAGTCACATGACACGGCCATTGTGAGTCACATGACACGGCCACTGTGAGGCACACAAATATTTACATCGTGCATTTTTAAGCGACAGAAGAGAGCTATGGAACCCCGGAGAGAACCCATGCAGAGCGCGGAGAGAGATAATATACAAACGTCAAGTGAGAGAGAATATACGAATATCAAGTGAAAGAGAAAATACGAATGTCAAGTGAGAGAGAAAATACGAAGATCAAGTGAGAGAAAATACGAAGATCAAGTGAGAGAAAAAATACGAATGTCAAGTGAGAGAAAATACGAAGATCAAGTGAGAGAAAATACGAAGATCAAGTGAGAAAGAAAATACGAAGATCAAGTGAGAAAGAAAATACGAAGATCAAGTGAGAGAGAAAATACGAAGATCAAGTGAGAGAGAAAATACGAAGATCAAGTGAGAGAGAAAATACGAAGATCAAGTGAGAAAGAAAATACGAAGATCAAGTGAGAAAGAAAATACGAAGATCAAGTGAGAGAGAAAATACGAAGATCAAGTGAGAGAAAATACGAAGATCAAGTGAGAGAGAAAATACGAAGATCAGGTGAGAGAGAAAATACGAAGATCAAGTGAGAGAGAAAATACGAAGATCAAGTGAGAGAGAAAATACGAAGATCAAGTGAGAGAGAAAATACGAAGATCAAGTGAGAGAGAAAATACGAAGATCAAGTGAGAGAAAATACGAAGATCAAGTGAGAAAGAAAATACGAAGATCAAGTGAGAAAGAAAATACGAAGATCAAGTGAGAGAGAAAATACGAAGATCAAGTGAGAGAGAAAATACGAAGATCAAGTGAGAGAGAAAATACGAAGATCAAGTGAGAAAGAAAATACGAAGATCAAGTGAGAGAAAATACGAAGATCAAGTGAGAAAGAAAATACGAAGATCAAGTGAGAGAGAAAATACGAAGATCAAGTGAGAGAGAAAATACGAAGATCAAGTGAGAGAGAAAATACGAAGATCAAGTGAGAGAGAAAATACGAAGATCAAGTGAGAGAGAAAATACGAAGATCAAGTGAGAGAGAAAATACGAAGATCAAGTGAGAGAGAAAATACGAAGATCAAGTGAGAGAGAAAATACGAAGATCAAGTGAGAGAGAAAATACGAAGATCAAGTGAGAGAGAAAATACGAATGTCAAGTGAGAGAGAAAATACGAAGATCAAGTGAGAAAGAAAATACAAAGATCAAGTAAGAGAGAAAATACGAAGATCAAGTGAGAGAGAAAATACGAATATCAAGTGAGAGAGAAAATACGAAGATCAAGTGAGAGAGAAAATACGAATATCAAGTGAGAGAGAAAATACAAACGCCACGTGAGAGGAGGTGGCCGAGGCACCCATCGAAGCGCGTCCATTCTCACCGTGAGGCGTGAGTGTTGCCACTGCGCCACCCTGGAGGTAGGGAAGGAAGGGGGGGGATGCAGGCCACCCACCTTTGCGGAACACCACCTTGCCGAACTTGAGATTGTCAGCCTCGGCCTTGGCCTTCATGGCGCTGAAGGTGCCGTTGTCAGCCACGGTGGAGATCTGCTCCCCGGACAGACCCAGCCCCAGGAAGGTGGACATCTTCTGAAGCTCCCCTGGCAGGTCCTGGACACACCAAAGGGGACGATGAACATGCCGCCCCCCCACGGTCACCACGTGGCCTGCACAGACCGCGGCGGCACGACACACGGTGGTCTTGGACGGCGGACAGAGTGGTCCTCTCTTTTAGCCCAGCCCCCCCCCTTCCAATACGTCATCATGTGCACCAACAGGGGCTTGCGCACAAACACGTCCACGTTGACGTCTACTTACACCTTGTGCTCTCTTTTAGCCCTGCCCCCCCCTCCCAATACGTTCCATTCATTGGCTACCACATTCTGAGAAGCTCCCCCCCCCCTCTCCTCCCCCTTAACTTGTATTTAAGAACTTGCATCTTGGAATCGCTGCCTCACTTGATGCAGCAAATCTGGCTGTGATGGTCCCACCTGATGACGGAGACTTGTGTTGCCTCCGAAACGTCATGATTTTTATTATTTTATTAATTTTTATTTCATTTTTTACCTACGTGGCTTTACCGAAAAAACTAAGAGTAAGAGTGGTTGGGAACCACTCACTGCCATAGCGGGTGGACGGAGCTTATCTTTAACCTGTACCTGACTTTATACTCAACGCCTCCTGTTCAAACGTTTGGACTGTTTTTATCACGATTCGCGTGCGTTATTGCCACTGTTAAAATATACAGCCTACTTGCACCTGTGCCTAGATTTTCATGGGACCTCTGTCTGTCGTTATATTTGCACTGGGTTTTTATTTATGAGTCCACGCTGTCACTGGTTCATGTGCCCACGTGGCCACTTAGTTGTGATGTCACGAGATCATCGTGCTACGGGGTCGTCATTACTCCAGGGGGTCACGGGGTCACGGGGTCACTCACCGCCTTGAGCTCCTCGTAGGTCGACGTCAGGATGTTCTTGTCCTCCCAGCGTTTGCTCCAGAACTTGACGTGGTCAAAGTAGGAACCCCAAGCCACTGAGGGGGGACACGGGGACATGGGGGGGGGGGCACATGGGGGCATATGGAGATACAATGGAAAAACGGGGAGACACACGGGGACACACAGGGGTCCACAAGCGGACATGGAGGGACCATCAGGACCGCAACGGAGAGACACAGAGACACACAGCGGCACGGGGACGCATGGAGACACACAGAAACACGCAGACGCGGGGACACATGGGGAGACACAGGAACATGCAGAGACACAGAGACACACAGCGGCACGGGGACGCACGGAGACACACAGAAACACGCAGACGCGGGGACACATGGGGAGACACAGGAACACGCAGAGACACAGAAACACACAGCGGCACGGGGACGCATGGAGACACACAGAAACACGCAGACGTGGGGACACATGGGGAGACACAGGAACACGCAGAGACACACAGCGACACGGAGACACATGGAGACACAGGGACGCACAGGGACACACACACACACAGGGACACGCGGAGACACACACACACACAGGGGACACACACCGTCTCCCTCCATGAACATGCGGTAGAATTCATCCCAGGAGCCGACAGAGGGTAGGCCCGGGTTGTTGTTGTAGAAGTGGTAGAAGGACACCGCCGTGTCCTTCGGCTCTCGGAAGATGAGCACCACCTGGGCCACGCGGGGCGGCAGTCGGACAAGGCGATGGTCAGATGGACAGACGAGCAGGCAGGCAGGCAGACGTATGCATACCTGTCAACCCATATGGTTTACCCCGTATTCTTGTACAGGTCCATACGGCGTACAGCCGTTTCAATACGGGCAAAAACAAATGTGTATAATTTGTTTGCGTTTCTCCCTTGCGATGGGACTTTGTAGGATGAACTTTGAGATTTATAAGAGGCACGGGGATGAGCAATAAGGTCTGAATTGGTCTGTTATAAGGTGGGCACTGATAAGGGGTTGACAGGTTTGCGTAAGTACATGTGGACCTCCGATTAGCACGGTCGGCTACGTACGGTGCGAAAGGGTCTAAGTTCACATCGCGAGTCAGAATAGCGCGCTCAACTCTCGCTGACGAGGAGCTGTCACAGGGGGAGATGAGGGAGATGTGTGGTTAGGGGGTCAGGGGTTCGTGGTGACCATCTCAGACCCGCTGACCAGGGAGAAGGGGAAGAATAACCCACGTTGATTCTAGATTTGAAGCTTTCGTGACTGCAAGGATTCATATTCTTAGGTTTTTTCGGTAAAGTCACGTAGAAGGTAAAAAATAAAATAAAAAATAAAAAACCAAAGAATAATAACCCACGTGCACCTGTGTTTACGTCGAAATTCTTTCGCGCCGTACGTAACCAACCGTGAGTGGATCGTCACTTGGAAAGCGCCCTCACCCCCCCACCCTCCCCCATGTCTCCCTCACCTTGCAGCCGCACTGGAAGAACCCCTTCGGGACGAGATCGGAGAGATGAGTGACGAAGAGGCGAGGAGAGGGGGCCACATCGAGGTCCTGCACGCAGCGGGGGGGGGGGGGGGGGGGCACGTTGTCACGCGCGTGCTTCACACAAGATCGTTTGGTCCGTTTGTTTATCTGCTGTGTGTTTCTCTCGCCCACTGTGCTAGCCACAATAACACACTCACTCACCTACTCGCTCACCCACCCACTCACCCACCCACGTACCCACTCACTCGCTCGCTCACCCACTCACTCGCTCACCCACCCACTCACCCACTCACTCACCACTCTGCTAGTCACAACACACTCACTCACCCACTCGCTCACCCACTCACTCACACACTCACCCACCCACGTACCCACTCACCCACACACCCACTCGCTCACCCACCCACTCGCTCACCCACCCACTCACACGCTCACCCACTCACTCACCACTCTGCTAGTCACAACAACACACTCACCCACCCACTCGTTCACCCACTCACTCACACGCTCACCCACTCACTCACCATTCTGCTAGTCACAACACACTCACCCACTCGTTCACCCACTCACTCACTCACCAACTCACCCACCACTCTGCTAATCATAACAACACACTCACTCACCCACTCGGTCACTCACTCACCCACTCACTCACCACTTCCTGGAGTCGTGGAGTTTTGCAATAACTAGTACATTTCATAAAAGCGTGTTTTAAAGAAAGTTTTTTTTTTAAATATGACTTATCTTTCTTCAATTTGTGTTGTTACCAGGTAAGGCTCACTGAGCTACTGCATCGCTTTCTTTCACAAGTGACCTGGCCACAAATGATAACCTCAGCGAAGTGGGCTCGTGATCGTCACCATCATCGCGTGGAAATGTCTAGCAGCAGCCACACACTCTGAACACGTGGGGACGTCGTTTCTAAACAGCGGAGGGGAAAAACCGGAGGACCCGAAGAAAAATCCACGCGACCACGGGGAGAGAGACGCAGACTCCAAATAAACAGCAGCAGGCGTCAAGGTCGGAATCGAAGCCACGACCTCCTGCATACCAGGCGAGGTAGTTAGCATCTCCTAGCCACCGTGATGATGATGAGCGAGAGAGACGCAAACTCCAAATATACAGCAGGCGTCAGGGTCGGGATCGAAGCCACGACCTCCTGCACACTAGGCGAGGTAGTTAACATCCCCTAGCCACCGTGATGATGATGAGAGAGAGAGAGACACGCAAACTCCAAATATACAGCAGCAGGCGTCAAGGTCGGGATCGAAGCCACGACCTCCTGCACACCAGGCGAGGTAGTTAACATCTCCTAGCCACCGTGATGATGATGAGAGAGAGAGACACGCAAACTCCAAATATACAGCAGCAGGCGTCAGGGTCGGGATCGAAGCCACGACCTCCTGCACACCAGGCGAGGTAGTTAACATCTCCTAGCCACCGTGATGATGAGAGAGAGAGAGACACGCAAACTCCAAATATACAGCAGCAGGCGTCAGGGTCGGGATCGAAGCCACGACCTCCTGCACACCAGGCGAGGTAGTTAACATCCCCTAGCCACCGTGATGATGATGAGAGAGAGAGAGACACGCAAACTCCAAATATACAGCAGCAGGTGTCAAGGTCGGGATCGAAGCCACGACCTCCTGCACACCGGGCGAGGTAGTTAACATCTCTCCCCCACCCCTCCATGACCCCTCCATGACCCCTCCATCACCTTCATCTTTCCTGGAGGCCCGAACTCCAGGAGGGGCAGGTGAGCGTGTCCCTTCATCGCTTCCTCCAGGGCCGGGTGAGCCATGTACATCATGTTCTGCAGCAGGCGCGACACCCAGTTGCAGCCTGGGTCGCAAAGACAAAGGTGCCCCGCATAGCCTCGAGACAACTGCTGGGGCAAGTGCTGGTAGCGAGCAGCATTCATGTAAGTCAGCAACAGAGAACAGAGACAAAGAACCCCCCCCCCCCCCTTGTATAGCCTCAACAGATTTGCTGGGGCAAGTGCTCTTCGCCAGGACACACACAGACACACACATACAAGGAAAAGACCCCCCGTATAGCCTTAACAGACTGTAGGGGCAAGTGCTGTTAGCGAGCACCTATGAAGGCCAGAACGGTACACGATGGGGTGGGTGGCCAGCACCACGCCCGACCGCCTTTGTCTCCCCAGTGGCGATGTTCACTCCACACCGCACAAGGTGCTCATTGGAGGCTGAGTCGACCTAGGAGAGGCCCATTTCTGGTTCAGAAAATCGTCACTGGTGTTGGCCGTGAGCGGGAATCTAACCCAGGTCCCCAGGTTCGTAGCGCAGCCTAGCGCTAACCACTACACTACCGCTTCCCACTAGAGACACACATAGTATAGACACACACACAGACACACAGACACATAGAGACCCACACAGACACACAGTCACACACCCATAGAGACACACAGACACACACACGAACACACAGGCACACACACAGACACCCACACAGACACCCACACAGACACCCACACAGACATACACACATAGAGACCCACACAGACACACAGTCACACACCCATAGAGACACACAGACACACACACACAAACACACACACAGACACACACACAGACACCTACACAGACACACACACACATCCACACAGACACCCACACAGACACCCACACAGACACACACACACATCCACACAGACACCCACACAGACACCCACACAGACACACACACACACACACCCACGCAGACACACAGACACACACACACACCCACACAGACACACAGACACACACAGACACCCACACACAGACACCCACACACAGACACCCACACAGACACACGCATCCACACACAGACACACACACAAACACACACAGACACACACAGACACCCACATCCACACAGACACACACACACCCCACACACAGACCCACACAGACACACACAGACACAGACCCACACAGACACACCTACGTACCACTCTTGGGATAGGTGACCAGCAGGACGTCGTCTGGCCGCGCCACGAAGCCGGGCAGCAGCTTCAGAGTGTCTGCCTGCAGCAAACTCGGGTACTTGATTCCGTCCACCACGGACAGCTTCTTGTCTTCGGGTAACTTCTCCGACTCCTCCATCACGTTGTTGAACGCTTCGATCATGGCACTAGTCTTGACTTCCAAGTGTGGAGCAGCCATAGCAGCAGCAGCAGCAACAGCAGCAACAGCAGCAGCAACAACAGCTACAGCAGCAGCAGCAACAACAGCAGCTACAGCAGCAACAGCAGCAGCTACAGCAGCAGCAGCAACAACAACAACAGCAGCAACAACAGCAGCAGCAGCAACAGCAGCAACAGCTACAGCAGCTACAGCAGCAACAGCAGCTACAGCAGCAGCAGCAACAACAGCAGCAACAGCAGCAGCAGCAACAGCAGCAACAGCAGCTATAGAAGCTACAGCAGCAACAACAGCAGCAGCAGCAGCCGACTTCGCAGACAGTACTGAGACGACGGAGTGTGGGCAGAGACTTCGCTTCTGGCTTGTGGAAGCGAGGGTCAGGGATGCTGTCAGCTGCCTGGAGGGCAATCGGCGTTGCTTAACTCTGGCCCCTCCTCCCCTCTCTCTCTGTGTGTCTCTCACGGCCTGCCGGAGTGCGCTCACGTGTCAAGAAGGTGACACAGGGAGCTTATTGATTGTGGCATCATCATCATCATGGTCCATGGTGGGGGGGGGCAGTGCCGGATTAAGCTGGTGCGGGGCCAACCTATTAGATCAACTAATTACCCCCCCCCCACCACCCACTTTCTATAACTTTTTGTACTTCATCTTCTTGGTTCTTTCGGTAAAGTCAGGTAGAATGGAAATAATAAAAATAAAACATAATAAAATAATTCTCACGACGTTTCGGCCACAACGCAAGCAGCCGTCCTCAGGTGGAGAACAGGTCTGTTGCGTTGTGGCCGAAACGTCGTGAGAATTATTTTATTGGTTTATTTTTATTATTTTATTATTTCCATTCTACTTGACTTTCCCTAAAGAACCAAGAAGATGAATCCCTGCAGTCACGAAAGCTTTAAATCGAAATTTTTTTGCACTTCTGCAAGCCTCTTATGAATTTGTTGGTGGAGAAATGGACAAACGGCCCACCGGCCTTTCACAATAGCTTAGTATCTGTGTATGTAGATGTAATGTTTTTAAGAGAAGTTTTAAAATATATCTTTCGCCCGCGCAACGCCGGGTACTTCCCGCTAGTATGTTATAAAACCGGCCCGAAATGAAATAAAAAAACAAATATTAAAGCACAATTTTTTTTTACTTGCATAGTAAAGTGATTGTATTTTTTCATTTGCTCGAGAGAGATGGATAGGTGGAGAGAGGAAGGGATGATTGAATGGATTGATGGAATGATGGAGGGAGGGGTGGAGGAAGGGTGGCAGGGATGTAGGGAGGGAGGGCTAAAGCGAGATCGTATCTACCTCACCTGGTATGCAAAAGGTCGTGGGTTCAGTCCAGGCCGACGGCTGTTGTAAATTTGGAGTTTGCGTCTCTTTCTCTCTCTCCGCGTGGTCTCGTGCATTTCTATTGTGGTCCTCTGGGTTTTTATTTTACCCTCCACAATTTATAATGAACGTAAGTGTCTCGATAATGATTTGGGATCTACTATAAATCCCCACAAACGATGAAAAGGCCACTTCGTTGACCAATCGTTTTCGACAGCCAGGTCGCTTCTGCCATACAAAAAAAATAGCTACAAAGAGCACAGTGCTTTTTTTAAATAGTTAAACTCTTGACACAAAAAGAGTGGGTTAGGTAGGCAGAATGAGGATGAGGCAGTCCCCACGGCAAGGCCGGGGACTTGGGGTGTGGAATGAAGGCCTCGGTTATCCTTCAATTCTTAACTTTTTTCTTCTTGGTTCTTTCGGTAAAGTCATGTAGAAGGAAAATAATAAAATAATAAAAATTAAACATAATAAAATCATTCTCACGACGTTTCGGCCACAACGCAAGCAGCAGTTTGCCTTCTCGACAGACCTGTTCTCCACAACGCAAGCAGCCGTCTTCAGGTGGAGAACAGATCTGTCGAGAAGGCAGACCTGTTCTCCACCTGAATCCGCCGCAACCCGACACAGCCAATTGGCAATATTTGTCACGTAGCCAAAACGTGCCGATTCGTTACGAGTTCAGCACACCGGTTGTGTGTTGGAGAGTAAACCCGCCACAACATTTACAAGTCGAGTACCTAATAACGTGCTCGCCGGTAATTACAACGAGAAGAACAACAACAACAACCACCAGCATCATCAGGCGACAAGCCCGAGTTGAGGAGACATCCTCTTCCTGTAAAATAACAAAGTTAATAATTTTGATTTAAAGATTTCGTGACTGCAGGGATTCATCTTCTTGGTTCTTTCGGTAAAGTCACGTAGAAGGGAAATAAAAAAATAAAAACATAATAAAATAATAAAAATAAAACATAATAAAATAATTCTCACGACGTTTCGGCCACAACGCAAGCAGCCGTCCTCAGGTGAAGACCAGGTCTGTCGGGGAGACAGCGTCTGAGGACGGCTGCTTGCGTTGTGGCCGAAACGTCGTGAGAATTATTTTATAATGTTTTATTTTATTATTTTATTATTTCCCTTCTACGTGACTTTACCGAAAGAACCAAGAAGACTTTGAGAGTTTGTTGAACATTGACTGTGTCGTGCCTTCTCCCCTCCAGTAATGATACATTGCTTGGCAGGAAGGAGGGAGGGGGAAAATGTGAGACGGAGTTTGCCAAAGTCTTGCGTCACCTGGCCCGGCTGATACAATCGCTCTGAAATCACAACAGCCACGCCATTGGGAAATGTGTGAACAGCTGCTGCACGGCAGCGTTGAGAGGTGAGAGCAATTCGAACATTGGACGCTCTCTCTCTCTGCGGCTCGCCTTACGTATTGCGAGGGGGCCTATTTAGCGATAACGAGCAACGCGAACGCGTTTCGGACGTGGCCGTTCCGTTCGTCCCAGTCAGTCAGGCAAGTCAGCCAGCCAAACTTTAAAAAAACACAGCAGTTGTGATAACGGCAGGGTGCTGCGTGCAGTATGGAGATCGGAGATCAGCTGCCTGGTCCGGATACACTGATGCCGGTCCCTTGGACGTTTTTGTTATTGTTTTTAATTGTCTCCAAGCGATGTCAACACAATTGTTATCAGCTATTGGGATGTGTTGTTCAGGTAGCACCTTTTACTTGTTCTCCTTTTATGTTCTTGGTAACTCATGTTCGGCAATTGTCGTCGGTGTGGTAACGCACGGACGGATTCGTGAATTGTCCAAAACATAGCAAAGTAAAACTCAGCTGTGTGCATATACAGCGCCATTCACACAAGGCGTCACGGCGCTTTAACAACACACTCCCGTAAGCATAAAAACCCTTCATACTCAAACCAAGAAGCAAAAACAGACGGACACGCATGAGACAATTCACGTGGTTTTCAGACGAGCCCTACAAATCCGACCGACGGAGTTGCTCCTAACGGACTGTTTGGGGCAAGACAATTTGCACAAAGGTGGTGCCTGACGTCTGAAAGCCCCATCAGCCATTGGACCAAGTTTTGATCTCGTCCAGGTAACGAGAGACGGATGCAATAGGGACGTCGCCTCGCGGCCCGTCACGGCGTCACCTTTGCTTTGACCGGGCAGTTTTTAAATCCTTTATATTAAGTTCACTTGCTTGCTTGCTTGCGCGCTTACGACCGTGCAAATATTTCGGTCGTTTTTTAACCCACTTCCCGTGATCCAATCGAGCTGACGACATTTTGCACACAGACTCGTTGTGCGTGGCAATTTATTTTCGTGAAAAAATGTTTCCAAAATTTTCCACTTTTTAGGAAATACAAATTTCATATTTAATTTAAAATACCAATGTGATAAAAACGAAACTTTTACTCAAGAAAAACAGAAATGAATAATAAAATAAAACCGATGCCACGCATATAAAGGATTTATAGTGAAAAACTTTGTTTTTACGGGTACATTTTTTTTTTGCAATGTCATCGTGTAGCGTGGAGGGCTTTGAGAGCTCGTTGCAGCACAGGGCGCCTTTAAATGCCAGTTTTATTGCAAAGTCATCGCGTAGCGTGGGGATGGCTTTGGGAGCTCGTTCCTTTGCACAGGGCTGCAGTGGGTGGGTTTGTGTGGCTTGTGTTTGTTGTTTGGCAGCGGTTAGGGATATGACGCCCAAAGCAAGCGGTGGATTTTCTTGGTGGCAAAAGATGCACTCGTTGCAGATATGAGAAGTGTCCCTCTGGCGGAGTCTTACCTGTGTGATGGTGGTGGTGGTGGTATTGATGCACACACACGCCAAACCGGCCGACTTACAATACTTACCGGTGCAGGGTGACCGTGTCATCTCTGGCCAGGCTTCCTGAGGGCAGGGGGGCTGTGTGACGTGTGTGATCTCACCCCTCTATGGGAAGCGGTACTCACCTGTTCTGGGCAGTTGTGTGATGTACGCCCAGGGCCTCTTGATGGGGAGGGGGCTGGGGGGGCCTGTGTGATCCCACAGAAACCAGCCCCTCGGTGGGAAATCGTATAAAAGGTGGGAGCCGGAGCGCAGAGAGGCAGTTCGATCAAGCCAAGATGAAGAACCAGTGAAGACTGAAGGCCAACGAGCTGGCTCCTCTTTTTAATTTTTTTATATTAAGTTCGCTTGCTTGCTTGCGTGCTTGCTTGCTTGCGTGCTTGCTTGCTTGCGTGCTTGCTTGCTTACGACCGTGCAAACCTTTCGGTCGTTTTTTAACCCACTTCCCGTGATTGCACACAGACTCGTTGTGCGAGACAATTAATGTTCGTGAAATTTTTTTTTCCAAAATTTTACACTGTTTAGGGAAAACAAATTAAATATTTAATTACCAATTGTTTAATACTGCAATCATCTGACCCATAGGTGGCAAGCCATCTCAAGCCAGAGGACGAGAGGACTCTAGCCGCCACGCATATAAAGGATTTATAGTGAAAAACTTTGTTTTCACTGGTTATACTTATTTTAGCTGTAACCACCCAATCTTGCCCAACTGAACTAAGACGTGAAGGTCAAACGAGGGGACGCGCGATAAGGGGCACGTGGGGGCAAGAGTTCACGAGCTTATTTTTTCTTTCACAAGCTGTTGCCTGCCCTCACCCGGGAGGGAATTTTGTGTCGAAGCGCGTTGACCATTAACGGAGGCGGATGATGAGATACGTGCGGCGCTATTGGGCCACATTGGCTTGGGTCTCCCAGGTGAAGCCACTGTCGAGGTTGGTTTGAGGCGGCTGTTTGGTTGCCGTGGCGGTGCAATAGGATTCTTTGATTCTAGATTTGAAGCTTTCGTGACTGCAAGGATTCATCTTCTTGGTTCTTTCGGTAAAGTCACGTAGAAGGGAAGTAATACAATAATAAACCCCCCGCCCAACTCCTACGCATTTGCCATAAATATGCTAAATGTTTGATATGCAAATTATTTTGTCAAGGCGCTCTTCTTCCCCCCTCCAAACCAGCTTAAATATACGCTCCAAGCTTGGTGGTGTTTCATTCTTCACCTGAGGACGGCTGCTTGCGTTGTGGCCGAAACGTCGTGAGAATTATTTTATTGTTTTATTTTTATTCTTTTATTACTTCCCTTCTACGTGACTTTACCGAAAGAACCAAGAGGAAAGAAAAAAGAAGAAAAAAGAAGAAAAAAGAGAAGAAAAAAATGTGGAATCTACAGAGGGTGCATGTCTGGTAAGGGGTGGGGGGGTGTGAAGCTTAATTTTACCCGCAGATTCGACGAGTCTTGCCTGCCTCAACGATCACTGCCGACTGGATAGCTGTACGAACTCGGCCAGTAACGCGATGACAATCTATAACGCATCCTTGCAGCGACGATTCGGGAATTTTAATGATTGCCAGATTTAGCAAAGCCACTCGCCCGTGTGTAATTAATTTAAGGGGCAAAGTCTCCTGCTCATATCCGTCTCGACGTTAAAAATAAACAATGTTTGACACAACCAATCAGCCGCATGGCATTCTCGGAATGCTTTATATAGCAGTACTTTTACTGGTAGGAATCTCCTGGTTACACCAGCCCATAGGGGATTATTGTGTCCGTCCGTCGTGCAGGGAGGGGCTGGGTGGGGAGGGTGGGACTGGGTGGGGAGGGGCTGGGTGGGGAGGAGCTGCTCACCCCGTGGTGCCCTTATAAAACTCAACGTTTAACCTACTCACGCCGGCTTGTGCCCGCCCTCAGTCGGGCATATTTGCGGAATACACCACGCCGCCGTTGACCCTGGCCATTGACTGAGCAACCCAACGTTCCTACCAGCTCCCTCCGCAGGAATGTGTTAATACCATCTCTGGGCCGGTTTTGACATGCAACGTCTCACCAGCAAGAGTGAAGCTTGCTTGAAATAATGCTGATCAACTGCCAATCTTACGGGCAAGGACTCTTTTCCATATGTAAATATCATCGGTCTCGCGTTAATTCACACGCACCGGGGATTCCACACACGCACACTTACGCAATCAGCTTGCAGGCAAAAGCACAAAGATGACTTCGGGTGTAGAATACAAAAAAAAAGCACACGCATGTTTTTTATTTTGGTCATTTGTCAGAAAATAACACGTGCGCACCTAATCATTGCGAGCCACTCGGGGTTAAATATCGGGGCTGATCTGATGCGTATTAACAAAGTGCACCCCAATATACACAAACTGCGGCCAGCAAGACCCCCGCCGCAGCAGGCATGGATCTAGGGCACGGACACGTCCCACGGGTACACTTTGGGGGGAAAAAGGGGCACCCAAGGTGGTCACAAGAAGCCGTGAAAACCGGCGCTGCCGCCAAACAAAAAGACGGTCCCCGTCCCAATTTCAAACCATCAAAGGTAACAACAGTGCAAGTGGCACCCGTGCCAAACAACTTGTATTCCTGCCAACGTTGACAACAACCTACGGAGGTGGGGTATTACCAACTGGTTTCGTGGCTTGCCGCCCAACTCCGACTATGCCTTGACCAGCGAGCCCTACACTTTGCAGGTCACGAGCACGTTAATCAAAGGATGACGATGACGGCGCGCGCGCGCACACACACCAGACGACAACGTGTACCAACGGAGAGTTGGAAAATCCTACACCACCAGTAATATCTTTCAGTCGCACCGTCGCCGAGCGCTGTGAAGCGTCGCCAGCTCTGGGCAACCGCCTGGCACCTCGATCAACTTGCTCAGAACGACCGTGTCTGCAAATGCGGGACGTGGGGGCGACGACTGAGCAGCCCGCAAGGGCGCAGGAAAAAACGGGTCATTAAACATGTTGGCGTGAACAGCAGGTGATGCAGATGCCGCGTCCCTCGGTGTTCCGTTATTAACATGGGTAACTGCATTTATTAACAGGGGGGGGGGGGGGGGGCACGCCAATGATTCTCAATTGGAACAATCACAGTTAGGGGCATGGTTGTGTTCAAGGAAGGAGATCGCTTTCAATAACAACGTCACATCAGTTACGCCTATATTGATTCATCACCACCCGAGAGATTCGAAGAATTGTTGTTAAACGAGGATTTGTTACAATGTTTCGTCTCATTTGTACTGTCCAGTTGTCGTTGTGCCCTAAAGGTATATCGGCATATAGTTCTCATCGGCATATAGTTTGCATCAAACACATAAATCCCTACACAATTCGATGCATGCATCGGGAGTGTAAAGAATCGACTGTACGTGATGAATCGTGACACGCTGAGCAGAAAGGCAACACCTTCTCACGCCAACTGCCGCCAGTTTTCATGACGGTAATCAAAGGCGCCCTCTTATCAGAAGAAGCCACGGTTAACACCACCACCCATGGCGGTCCCACCGCCCCCGAATTTCACTCCACCTCGGATGACACCAATTCACCACAACCCACCGGCTTCACCCTCCACAAACGCTCGTTAAACCACCGCCCTTCCACGCGTTCATTTCAAACGGTGGGACAATAAAAACGCAAACACAACGGTTAGACTGTGGGTTTCTCTGCTGTGTGTGCACGCGTGTGTGTTTGTGTCCGAGAAGGCTTCTTCTCTGCCTGTGTAGCGGGCACTTCTGCCCGTGACACCAGACCCGCCCGCGTGCCCTGCAGGGCCCACCTCAACCCACCATCAGTGGCAGCGTGGGTTTAATTAAAAAAAGAATTAAAATTACAAAATGCTACGTCGTTAAGGTCGTGATGTTGCACGTTGGCAGCTACCACGATGGTGTACTCGCCGAAGGGCTCGCGCTTAAAATCAGATCGTTCGCGCTCTGCCAGCGCAAACGATCTCCGTGCGGGTTACATAAATTAACAAAAATATAAACAGAAATTTAGTTTTACTTTATTTGACCAGGCATGGCCCACTGAGCTATATAGCTCTTGTTCATAAGCGACCTGGCCACAAATGATAGCTCAACGAAGTGGCTTATCATGTGGAAATGTATTTCAGCCAAATAATCTAAACGCATGTTTCTAAATGTGGAGGGAAAAGCCGGAGGACCCAGAGAAAAATCCAGGTGACCAGGGGGAGAACATGCAAACTCCAAGTATACAAGCGTCAGGGTCGGGATCGAACCCACGACCTCTTATATACCAGGCGAGGTATTTAACATCTCTCCACCGCGGCACCAAATTAAAAAGCAGGTGAAGCCCGCTCACTTAACTTGACTCAGCTTGGCAAGCCACGAGCAATTTCCACTGGAGAACCAAACGGTCTACGGGCGCAGACACGACCTCGCACCGCCGCAATCATCACGGAGTCTGCGCGGCAACGGGAGAACGCCGTACGCGAACCAACGCTCGCAACATCCGTCTCCTCGCCAACAATATTTAGAAGCGTGCTTTGTAACGTATCTTTTTTTTTCCTGTACAAGGGGTGATAGGAGTGGGGGATGCGCCGTTTACCCCCCGTGGCGCCAAGGCTCAATCAGCTCGATCCCTCGTCATCGTCATCCTCCTCATCGTCGTCGTCATCGTCGTCCGAGTCCGTGTCCGACGGGTGCTCGAAGCCGTTGAGCGTCGCCCCGCCCGCCGTGTCCGCCTCCACCCCTCCGGCACCCGCGGTCCCCGCCGGCTTGGGGGAAGCCGGGCCGCTCCGCGGAGAGTCGCTCCCGACGGGGGAGTCGATGTCCTCGTACCCCTTCACCACGCCGCCGCTGCTGCTCACGCCGCCCCCGCGCTCCTCCGCCAGGTGGTTCCCACGCACGCTCCCGGCGCCGCCCGTCTCCATGTCCTCCTCCTCCTCGTCGTCGTCGTCATCGTCGTCGTCGTCCTCCTCCTTGTCAAGCGGCGAGGAGGCCGCGGGCTCCGTGGCGCCGCCGGCGCTGTCGGCCGAGCGGGGCCGCGCCGCCGTGCTGCTGCTGGCGACGCACACGCCGTTCGACTGCTCCGGCGACTGCTGGGGCCCGCTCGCCGTGTCCGGCGACGCCGACGGATGCTCCGCCGACGCTACGCGGCTGTCGCCGCCGCCGCCCTCTCCAGGGCTCTCGGCGCACTCCGTCTCCATCCGACCGGCACCCCCGCCGGCGCCGCCGCCGCCGCCGCTGCCGCCGGGCTCGCGCGAGGACGTCCCCTCGGCCGGAGAGCACGAACGCAGCTCCCCGGCCCGGTCCGACGAGCCGCCGGCGCAGCCGGAGCCGTCATCCGGGGAGGGCGGCGGAGAGAAGTCTCTGTCGGCGTCGGAGGCCCCGTGGGCGCTGGCTTCCGAGAGCCGCGCCGGCGAGCGCCCGGGGCTGGAGCGCGACTCCGACGGCGCGCGGGCCGCAGTTGCGTTGGGTGGCGGAGGCGGCGGCGGCGTGGGGGACGGACCGTCCGCAGCGGAGGAGGAGGCGGCGGCGGCGGTGGTCAGCGGGCTCTGACAGGCGGCTGGGCCGTGGGTCGTTGGCCCGCCGGTGCCGGGCGCAGGCGCGGACACCTGCTGCAACTTGTGCCGTGCCTCTTTGAGCTGCTGCTGCAGCACCAGGATGGTGCTCTGCATGCCCTCCACTTCCTCATCCAGCTGGATGATGAAGTCGTTGAGCTCTGCGCGCGCGTTACACCAACACACGTACGTGAGCGGCGTGCCAAAAAGACACAAGCCTCGTCGTGAACGCGAGCACCATCGGTGACTTAACATTGAAGCCGAGAGACAGTGTGGGTCAGTGGCTCAACCACACACATACAACACACGCAAGCTAACGACAGTAGACACATCCACATGTGCCCAGGCCACTGTGCCCGTATGGTAAGCATGCAACATTTCATGGGTCAATCATTAAAAAGCATGAATTCGTTCATTTACACATGCAAACAATTTGTAGTGTAACCAAATTATGAACAAATGTAACTTTTAAGACTCGTGGAACACCTTAGATTAGCACGGTTGGCTACGTACGGTGAAGTTCGATATTCACACGGAGCAAACTGTGAGAAAGTACTGACGAGACCAAAAACAATCAGTTCACACCAACCGAACCGTGACCCCACAATCTTCACGGACACGCGGAAAATCGACCAGCAACTGGCTCTCGGATGTTGAGCGCAAAAACCAACCCAAGCTAGCGAGAACTCCCGGTCGCACGGGGCCACTCCGTTCACAAGACCATAACCATAGCTCAAAACGCTCGCCAACCCACCCCCCCCACCCACCGTCCTGGCCGCTCTTGAGCTCCTGGCTGTACTTCTTCTGGAGCGCCAGCTCGGCTTCGAGCTGCGCAACGCGCCCCTGCGACAGCTGCCGACCCAACTCCTGGTTCTCCTGGATTAACATGCGGCACTTCGACATGAGTTTCTTGCCCGTTTGGCTGCAAACAACAGTCGGCACGGCACTCGGCAAAGGCGAAAAACACAAACGCGGCAAAGGGGGGTGTGGAGGGGGTTCTCGCTAGCCCTCGTAGAGGGAAGAGACATGTCATGGAAAAGAGCTTTACAACTCATCGGATTCCTCCAGAATAAATAGAAATTCCGATTCTGAGATTAGTCGACAGGCAATGCATGCCTTGGCCGGGCGATCGCAGCGGTAATCTATCGTCCGCGCTTGGTGCAGCCCGTCACAAAATTAAAACTCAAGCACGGCTACGTTTCAGCCCAGACAACATTTTCGTTTTAACTGCCTGCATCGAGAAAAAAAAAAAAAGCAGGTGGAGATTTAACTTTGTACGATTCGTACTTTTTCTTTTGACAATATTAATGGGACGAGTTAATACTCTGCAGCACAGATGGTTAAACAGCGCAACACGTTAACGTGAGTTTGACTACCCCTTGCTCCAATTTACGCGACTCTTTAGAAAGTAGATCTTACATACAATGGAATACAACCCCCCCATGCCCGACTTGGCATGGGGAGGCCTTCTTGCAACAAATGGCTGTCAATTATGACTGAGAGGATCTTACAAGTGTGTACCATAATGTTACATCGCCTTCACGGGAGAGATTACTGTGACTGCATTTATCCACATTGTGATGTACAGCAAACACGCGGTGCCACAAAACACAAACATCAAAAATCCCCCGCGTAGCCTTTAACAGACTGTTGGGGCAATTGCTCTTAGCGAGTACCAATGAAGGCCGGCACGGCGCACGAGGGTGGGTGGCCAACACCACGCCCGGCCGCCTACGTCTCCCCAGTGCTGATGCTTACACTTCACACCAGGTACTCATTTAAGGCCGAGTCGACCTTGGGGAGGCTCAGGACTAGTTCACATGTTCACCACAGTTATAGGTCACAAGTGGGAATCGAACTCGGGTCGCCGGGTTCGTAACGTAGTGCGCTAACAACTGTGTCACCGCTCCCATTAAAACAGAAGACATGCACATACCCCTCACACATTACACTAGCAACTTGAATGATAAAACTTCCTTTAAAATGTTTTTACAGTTTTAACTGAGACTCTAATTAGTTTTTTTAACCATTAATCCCTCAACAAGTGCAATTACTCGGTAGATGTTTTCCAGCTGCAATAAAAGGTGAAATAAAAAAAACATAAAACATGCCAACTTAAGAAAAATCGTACTTATAATTATCTACATAAATGCAAGCATTCTTAGTACTGACTCACGATCGCCACTTACAAGCACCCACATCTACACGTTTCACCACTTCCCTCTTGAAAAACTTATACCGACAGCATTTACATTTAATTAACGAGGTAAGCAACCCTAATTAATAAAATTAATCGGTAATGTTCCTGATCAGGACAATTAACAGGTGTTTGGCACCACTGGCTGATTGAACAACTCATTCAACAAAGTCTATCATTAAACAATGCGACGAGATTATTATTTTTAAATGAAGTGGTCAAACGTGCAGCCCCTGCCCACTTAAAATTCCCACACACACACACAAATAGATCTGCACCTTCAGGAACTTAAACCACAGAGACCGTCTCTACGTACATCCAACACGAGCCACAGAAAATTTTCAGAGGAAACGACGTCATGATGTTAATTTTGGTGAATGCACGTTCGTTCGTTATACCTGTTGAATGGTTCAGGGAGGAATCGGCAAGCGACGAGACTGCCTGAGCTAAGCCCGCGAGCCCACAGTTCAGTCAATCAGGACAGAGTCAGTGGAGCGAGCGGGGAACGCTTAGGACCTTTAGTGTGACGTCTCGCCTAAGCGTTCAGCCGCCACAAATGAATCGGTGGTGATCTTGATGCTGGGTTTGAGGTGATCGTGACTACTTCTCTTGCCCTTTTTAATGCGGACGCTTAACAGTTTGCACGCCAAAAAGGCGAAAGTAACCGCCGCTTCCTCCTCTGCGGCACTAGAGACGCAGCAACCGCCGCTGCTTTAGAGGCGTTACGGCTACAAGTCAGCGAGTCTATGAGTGTGCGCAGTGGCCCTTTCAAAATTTCAGTCTTTGCGATAAGTGTTCTTCACTGCCGGTGAGCAAAGCAGGTGCGACCAAGAGTCAATTAAAATTATAGTTTGGGATAGCTTTACAGGCAGGTTAATGCTACAGAGTTACGCATTTCACACAACCGTGGGGGTTTTTGTCGCGTGTCTGCGTTTTCCTGTGAGGGGAGGAAAAAGCGAGTCAACAGATGAACCGGCGCTCCGAGGCCGGCGACACAATGGCTGTGTTCGTGTGTTCGTCGTTTCGTACGAGAAACACAACCCCTCGGGCTCTGGAGGTGGCGGCGGTGGAGCCAGCGGCCGGGTCCAGATGGGGGGGGGGGGGGGCCTCCGGGTCCTCCCGCCAAGTCCCCCATCGCGGGTGGGGCCACCGCAGGAGAGGCGACTACCCCCCTCCTCCTCCTCCTCCACCACCCCCCCCCCCCGTTCTTACGCCAGAAGAGTCTGCGGGGCAAGACGATTGTTTTGTTTTTGTTTTTTTTTAAACGTTTTGGTGCGTTACCTATCGGGCGTAAACTTCCAGGCACTGAGTTCATCGTGGGCCTGCTGCAGTTTGTCTTTGCTCTGCTGCAGCTCAGACTTCATTTTAGTGAAGAGCAGGTTGACGGCCGGGTCCACGAGACAGGAGCGCAGGTGAGAGGCGCTCGACAGCTGGCCCTGCTTGAGCGAAGCGATCTGAGTCTGTTTCGGGTGAGGGGGGGTGTGCACGGTGCCACCGCCGCCGCCACGCCGTCGAAAATCCGCGCACCGCGGGAGCCCGGCGGCCGCAACACCGGGACACGAGCGCAGACGACGGTCGTGCACGGATGAATGGGAGGGGGGAAGGGCGAAGGGGGAAAAAAGACAAAGCACGACAAGTTAGCACGGCAGAAAGCGAGCGATTTTAGTAAACGGAGCACATTCAACTTAGGAGCCGTGTATCAAACGCACCCAATTCAGATCTCTTCTCAAGCTATGAGCAAATTATCCAGAATGCCCCACATCTTGTTAAAACCTGGAAGCTAAAAAAAGAGTTCTTGGCGGGGAGATTGCCTGAGAATGCCAGGTTTAGTAGGCGGCCTTTGAGCTACGAGGTGGCCAAGAGACGATAGCACGGCAATGGAATTACTGAATCCATTTACGGAGGACGAGTGCTCGCTACTTCCTCGTATTTGTGGGGTTTCTTCAGGTACACCAGATTCCACTCATCAATTAAATTAGTCAAGCATCGAAATGCAGGACTCTCGTGAAAAATAAAAAAATCTTGACACTTGGAGATGCTTTGCTGGGCATCTAAACGGCATTGTTAACTTTATTACTGTGCTGACGATGCACGCATAAAATCATGCATAATAACGTCAAAGTCAAACAAGGTAATTTAATTTATTCAAATGCTGCACAACTCTCCATGCTAAATACTGCACAACAAATGCTTCTATGTGGCAACAAAATTTTAATCGCAACCCCAAATAATAAGGGATTGTCAAATGGCAAGTCGGGCTAATTTTATCTTTCAATGTAAATCAATTAAACCCATTTTACCTGGTGCAAACACCTTGCCTCACCACAAAGAGATCAACAACAAGAATGTACATTGGTTTTTTTTATGTTTTCTTCTGTGTTCTCAATAACTGCGTGTACACATTTCTAAAAGAATGGAATTAAAATACCGGCCCTGTGTATGTGCTTGTGTCTTTTGGAACGTACCGCACAGTAACCGATGAGCCCTGGTACCAGTGATTCATTCTGGAGACCGCTGCCCGATCACACTGGCATGCGCCGAGCGGTTTCAACGTTTGCGCGCGTACTCAAATACCGATCGGTTAAATCGTGACTAAAAATAGAACTCGATTTTTAAATATGTTGAAATTCTTCCCCCACACCGTACGATGCTAATCGGTGGTGAGGGGGAAGGACAACAAACTAAACACAAAAAGCAGCTCTAAATAAATGATTTTAAGGTGCATAGCCTCAGTGGCTTCCTAATATTGAAAGAGCATTCCAGACGGCTGCAGAAGCACATCTGAAAGCACCGTCTTTGTTCGATGGCTCACCAAAATCCGCCACGGGGATGACTGGTGTTCGCGTGATGGTTTATCTTCCCTGATTTGATGATTTTAGATTCCATGGCTTTTGAATCGATAATAGATTCCAGAAACAATTATCAATACATCGTTAATCTATTAAAATACAGTGCCAAGAAAAGGTTTGTGAACCCTAATAATGAAGGAAATTCCATAATTAACGATGAACCGCTTGCGAGTTCCCAGATTCAACGGTGAACGGGACACCCACCTTGCAACTTGTAATAGAAAAATGTTTTTAAGTTGGACAGCATTAGATAAATGGATGTATCCCCTAACAGAGGCGTGGGGGGGGGGGGGGCAAATCATCACACGTCTCCTCACCGCACACTCCTGCATCTCCTGCTCCTTGGTGGCGAGACGCATCACCAGGATGTTCTCCCGGCGCAACGACTCCTGCTGCTGGTGCTTGAGCCGCTCCTCGGACTCGCGCAGGCCAGTCACGTCGCTCGCTGGTCCACGGTAGACGGTGTGGCAGGCGGTTCACGCACGCACAACACGCACGCCATGGCACACCCAACGACGGGTGCGCGCACACACACACGCGGATGCAAGTTACGTTACACCTAAATCACAGCGCGTCTTGCTGACGTGACGTTTAACTTTACGTCGTTTAAAAAAAGTTCCTGATGCGAGTGGAAAAACAAATAGGTAGCAGTCAACTCACAGTTGAGATCTGCGAGCTTTGACTCCAGGGTCCTGAGGTATCCCTCCTGCTGCTTCCACCTGCGTAGAGCAAAAAACAGAGATGGGTTCACTTCACATCGCAACGTCACCACGCTGCAGACCACAGCAGCATCGTCATGTCCCCTCAGCTCAAACACACTTAGGATTTTTTTTATTTAAAGCTTTCGTGACAGCAAGAAACTTTGTGTTTTTCACATCTGATGATGATTGCTTGTGTTGCAGTCGAAACGTCGTGAGAATTTTATTGTTTTATATTTTTATTAGTTTATTGTTTCCCTTCTACGTGACTTTACCGAAAGAACCAAGAACACTTAGGATTGTTAAGATGAACTTAAGCGGCGCTCATGTGGTTATAGAGTCGGCCAAAAAGTAACACAAATTAAATATACTAGCTTCAGCAATGCCTGCTTCAGGTTATAGAGTCGTTCATTTCCTTCAAGGTTTTTTGGCTTGTAAATTTATTTTCGATTCAAGAAGTCATAGAATCAATAATCAAATCAAATTTAAATTTAGCAATGAATGAACCAATTGGCCTGCGACACCGTTCCAATCACAAGGCATGTTTCAGTGTGACCGGTCACGTGACAGCCCATTGTATGTACTAAACAAAACTCACAGCCCTTTGTCAGTTCACTGCTGAATGAAGGCCTCATCACATTGTGTTAATTATAGGGTTTGATTGGCCATAATTCACCATGCTCCTCTGGGGGGGTTCAGGTTTAGCAGACAATCAAATGTTGATATTTAAAAATCGGAAGTAACAACCCAAGTCTGGAACACTGGTCACCATGCCCCATCATCTAGCGAAATGACTTGCCCTAGCCCACTTTACTTTGCAGTAAATATTATGTCTCAAACTTGAGTATGTTTTGTAAACCACGTACATGTTCCTATTTCTCAATGTAATTCTCAGCATGAACATTTCCATGCTTCATTGCACTTTTCAGCGTTTAGTTAAATTAACGTGACAAACCTTACGAATTAGCCGTGTCTGGTGGTGGTGGGTTACCGACACATTTATATTTACACGATCAAACCCAAAATAACCTTTATTATAAATAATATTGGTAGCAAAATCATACGTCTTAAACTAAATCCACAATCTACACCGTAAACAATCGATTCCCAAGATCACCATTGGATGCAGGAATCGCAGCGAGTTGTTAACAGGTGTAAAAACGCATATTTCAGCCGGCAAGGCAAAACGGCGGGTGGTGGGCGCGTCACCGAGGGCATTTTGATACCAAAGAAACATTTTCTGCGCACCTCACAAAGAGATCTTCCCTTGACATGGCGCGCAACTCGTCGTCAGAAAGACGCACCTGAGGACGGGAAAACAAACATCCGTTACCATTACAACCGAATACATTAACCAACAATGAGGTCGGTGCGGCTGCATCATCAGCAATATTAAGTTTTTGAACTGTTGACGCTAGAAGCAGGCATGGGGAACCTTATATTTACCGATGGCCGAATGGGACTTTCAAATACCTTTGGAAGGCAACCACACATTTCCACACACAAATCCGTCACTTTTATTGTATGCAAGCGGTTGCTTTTGCTTTGACTTCTATTTGCATCGTAACTTTACTTTATTTCTTACAAACAATGCGCATCTGAGAGTTACCATGTTTTTTTCCCCAGCATATGCCCTCGCATCACTTAGAAACAAAGCACTGGCGACACGTTACAGGCGTCAGTGTTTTGGTAAAGATCTCCATGGCTTACCCGCTTGGCGGGTGGCTCCCCGTCTGCCATGGCCAAGTCTGCAACGGCACACACGCGACATTATGTACAACAACCTTTATAACGTTACCGATAAGACGTTTACGAGCATTTGGAACACCTATTGGGTGCGGCACGCGTTCCAACAGCAGAATCGGCAGCCCGCTCTGACGCATGCACAAGGCAGCACAGGTCAGCGCAGAGCCAAGTAACCATTAAGATGAACATAAGATGTTGAACGTAGTCACTACAGAGCTATACAACGCAATACGGTTTGCACGAGACAGCAGACAAGCGGCAGCATTGCTGAATTAATGAACAGCAAAAAAAAACCAGCAAGGTTCAGACAGAAGGTGCACAATAACACGAAGCAGGAACGCGTTGCAAACTTCCAGGGCAAAAAACACCACAGACACTGAACAGCGAGGGTGAACACAACACACCTTGCAGAACAGGAGCACATAACTTGAGATGCAAGGGCTGAATGTTGCATGGCTTACAGAGGAATGCAACACGAGGAGGCAATCACACACATAGGGCTGGATACTTAGTAATACTACTCAAAAGGTGATTGATGGGAGAGTAAATGCGCGATTTTAAAAGCATGAGACCAGTCGTCCCGCTATGCCCATGTATGTCTCATGCCATCACCATACGTGTACTGCACGTACGAGGCATATTGCTTTAAGACCATAACCTCCAAAATAGTTTTTAAAATGTGGCCTCTTTATTTTAGACAGCAGAGGACAACTGGTTATATCCCTGTTAGAAATCTTGTTGAGTATCGCCATCATTGCTTCCTGCTGCCTTATGCCTCAGGTTTTGGTGGGCAGTATATATAAGCAGCAGGTCAGTTTGCGTGGTAGAGATGCAACACATGAAGGAACAGCAGGTCTGAGTGGAGCATACCTTGTGGGGAAGACAGCGCACGAGACAAACGCGTTTAATAAAGCATTGCTTGCACAACAGGTAAACACGTACACAGAACAGCTCATTGCAGACAGCCCGATTCGCCGCAGCACAACTTGCAAGACAGCATACGCAGTACAACTGGATCCAATGCAACGCGGTTTGATGCCATTTTGACAGCCTACCAAAGAGCACGGCTCAATGTAACACGGTTTGAATGGTAGGGATGCAACACAACCGAGAGCAGACAAGAGGATATGATCAAAAGCAGCGCAAATTGCGAGGCACAACACAGCACCCGTGACAACTGTGTCCCATAGCAAGACGGAGTGATGTAGTTTGACAGCGTGCGGCGGCGCGAGAGAGCAACTTAAGTGTAATGCAACGAGGTTTGCAAAACAGAAACACCGATGCAACAGCATCCAACCACACACAAACGCCCTCCACGGCCCTTGCCGGTGGCATGAAACACAAAATACCACGAGTTAAATGAGGAATGTTTTCGTAATGTATTGAATTCACTTCACCTGAGATGACTGAATTGGTGTATGGGGGGGGGAGCTCTGCATAGCAAATGTTGACTCAAGAACCGACTGGCAGGTCGCTGCTAAACCACGGTTCTTCTTGCGAGATGTTTATAGAGTCGAGTGCTGTTTGCGGGACTGCATCAATGCACGGTGTATTATATTTAAGTTGCGTTGGTTAAGAGGTCTTTGAAAGCGCAGAGGTCTTTGAAGGCGTCGAGTTTCCCGCGCAGGGTCAAGTCCGGACAAACGTCGCGACACACTCCCCCCCCTAAAACAACACCGCGAACATCTATAAACCACAACGCTGCGCGTGCAACTACGGCCGTAACGAAGCGAAACGCAATTGAAACGTCTCGCTTATTTAATGCAACACGACAACAAACAACAACAACGCGTGAGGGAAGCGGTGAAGCCTGCGGGTAGGCCGCGGCCTACAAGCCCAGGCTTCGCCCACACACACAAGAAACCCTCACACCACCGCGCTCTTTACGGACCCGGTGTCGAACACAGGTGAACTTACGTCGGTTGTGGGTGTGCGGGCGACCGAGACGAAGCCCCGGGGTGGACAGGCGAGAATCGACAACGCGGCGAAGGGGCTGGGACGGCGTTCGGCAACTCAAATCCCGCGAACTGGACGCCTCAAGATGGCGGCCGCGTCACCAGCACGGCCGCGCGTCACGTGGTCGCGGTCCACCGCCCTCGAGATTTCCCACAGCGGATAAGGCCGCTTTGTATTTGCCAGTGAGCTTACGCACGAGTATTTATATTTACCAGTGCACTTACACACGAGTAATTTGATTTCCCAGTTTGCGTGGGCATGGGTCCACCGCCCTCGAGATTTCCCACAGCGGATAAGGTGGCTTTGCATTTGCCAGTGCGCTTACGCACGAGTAATTCGATTTCCCAGTTTGCGTGGGTATGGGTCCTCTGCCCACGAGATTTCCCACAGCGGATAGGCCCACGGGGCTACGTTACATTTGCTAGTTCGCTTACGCACGAGCCAATTACATTACCCAGTTTGCTTGGGCATGGGGGAGTCGCGTTTATATTTACTGGCTCGCATGCGCGCAGGCAGGAGGGGGCACGTTTGTATTTCGCAGCTGACTTGCGCATCAGCCGGTGGATTTGTATATTTACCAATGAATTGAGGTACAGCGATTGGGTTCGTAAGTTTCCCGCGATTTCGATTCGCGCGATTTGGCAACGTACGGTGCGAAAGAAGTTTAACATATAGTGCACACATACACGTGTGTAGTTTAGTAAAAGCATCAGGGAAAGTGAAACTTTCGTGACTGCAAGGATTCATACTCTTAGTTCTTTCGGTAAAGTCACGTAGGTAAAAAATGAAATTAATAAAAAATAAAATTAAAATCAAGTGAACTTGATGCAGCAAATCTGGCTGTGACGCTCCCACCTGATGACGGAGACTTGTGTTGCCTCCGAAACGTCGTGATTTTTATTTTATATTAATTTTAATTTCATTTTTTACCTACGTGACTTTACCGAAAGAACTAAGAGTATCAGGGATAGTGTTGGCGTCGGCTCAACGCATGGGGGCCCTCCTGCGTGTCTGTGGTTCTTACTCAGAAGAACTTGAACTACTTGAACTATTCAGAGAATGCGAGATGCAACTTTGTGCGTGTGGCCTGGAAGATTTTGCAGTTTTTTCCAGGATTTTTCTATGTGCTCAGAGTCACTTTAAGATGTTTTCTTGTTTTTGTTTTTTGTTTGTTGCGGTTGCAATGGCTCACAGGGCTCTACCTAATTAATTAATTTCGATTTGAAGCTTTCGTGACTGCATGGATTCATATTCTTGGTTCTTTCGGTAAAGTCACGTAGAAGGGAAATAATAAAATGATTAAAATAAAACATAATAAGATACAATTCTCAGTGTCCCAATGTCCTTCCGACAGCCCCGTTCTTCACCTGTGGACGGCTGCTTGCGTTGTGGCCGAAACGTCGTGAGAGTTTTATCTTGTTTTATTTTTATCATTTTATTATTTCCCTTCTACGCGACTTTACCGAAAGAACCAAGAATATAAATAAATGAAACTGAAGATAAAAAAGTTTTTTTTTTTTAAACGGCATGGAGCAAGCTTGAAGGGACATGGAGCGGAGCCCCGTGACCTGTGCAAGGCACGTGCTGCGACACGGAATGGAGCACAAACTGGCGGAGCGTGGAGTTGTCCACACATTGAACATGCAAGCCATGTACCATCTTGATAATTGGTTTTTTACCCTTCTATCTGGCAACAAAACTTGACACCTTTTTACAAGGAGTCATGTTTGCATAGACCGCAATACCTGCAGTCATAATACAAACAAAAAAACATAACTCTGATAATGTATGCACTGTCCTTGAAGTTGATTGGTCCACACCCGAGACAGCTTTCCTTAGAGCCTAGTCTCACATGGTGTTGGACCAGATGACGCCAAAAGGCGCACAACTCAAAGACAATGCACCATCAGAGTATAAGAGCTCGGGGCAAGCATCTACACTATGGGAACCTCCTTTGCCAGTAAAAATATGATAGAAGGGTAAAAAACCAATTATCATATTTTTACTGGCAAATGAGGTTCCCATAATGTACGATCTTATTTGACAGGTACTATTCTATAGTAATAGGTTTTTACCCTTTCAACTGCTAGAAAAACTGACACCTTTCTACAAGGCATCATGTTTGCAATAACCACAACACAAGCAGTCAAAATGCAAACAAACCAGTTGAAAGGGTAAAAACCTATTACTATATTTTGCCACTGGTAAAGGAGGTCTCATAGGTACTATTCTACTTTACCGAGTGTTGACATCCCCAGCGTTTAACAGTACTGCTTTTTAAATCCTTCATATTAAGTTCACTTGCTTGCTTGCACGCTTACGACCGTGCAAATCTTTCGGTCGTTTTTTAACCCACTTCCCGTGATCCAATCGAGCTGACATTTTTCACACAGCCTCGTTGTGCGTGACAATTTATTTTCGTGAAAATTTTTTTCAAAAATTGTACACTTTTTAGGAATTTTTTAAAATATTTAATTACCAATTGCTTAATGGTGGCAGGCAATCATCTGACCCATAGGTGGCAGCCATCTCAAGCCAGAGGACGAGAGGACTCTAGCCGCCACGCACATAAAGGATTTATAGTGAAAAACTTTGTTTTTACGGGTTAATTTTTTTGTATTTGGATTGTCAGCCAACACCGGTTACAACCCCGAGTTGAGGTGCACCGATTGTTCTCTTTTAGACCCGCCCACCCCCTCAACACGTTCCATTCATTGGCTACCACATTCAGATAAACCCCCCCCTCCCCCTTAACTTGTATTTAAGAGCTCGTCTCTTGGAATTTTTCCTCACTTGATACAATAAATCTAGCTGTGACGGTCCCACCTGATGACGGAGACTTGCGTTGCCTCCGAAACGTCGTGATTTATTATTTTATTTCTATTATTTATTTTTACCTACGTGACTTTACCGAAAAAACTTAAGAGCATGCCAGGCATGTACCTCGAACATGGCGTGGAGCATTTACGGACGGATCGTGCAGTAGGGCACATCCATCACCAACCCACCGCGCAAACAAAGCATCGAGTTTGTTTATTTCCCATTCGCTATCGTACATCCGAGCGGCAGCGATCGACAGACTTTCCGTTCACCAAGGGCCTTCGCTCGACTTAGCCGCTCTGTATATGAACTTCTTTCGCGCCGTACGTAGCCAACCGTGCTAATCGGAGGTGCTTTGATTCGGCCCGCTGGCGATGTTCATAACCGTCGCGGCAACGCAATCTTAGCCGCACTGATCGGGAGCTAGAGGGGAGGGGGGAGAACAATTTTCAACCTGGCAGCAACACCGCTCTTGTAATGTAGCGTCGCTGAAAGCACGTGTCTACGTTGAACTTCTTTCGCACCGTACGTAGCCGACCGTGCCGATCGGAGGTGCGGAAAGGGCCCCCCCCCCGGATTAGCTGCCCGACTTCGTTATCTCCTCATTTGTTGCGTTTGCTGTCCACGCTGCATTGTGGAATATTTGGTCTCAAATGCGGTGCCTCGAGGTGCACCGGATGGGAGGCGCGGGGGGGGGGGATATCAACAGCAAATTGCGGCGACGTACAATAAATTATGGACATTTATTTATTTTCGCGTTATCATTGGGTCACGCAAAATTAGGCGTCGGTGTGGACATGTGGCCCGCGCCAAAGGAGTTTGACGGTCGGACTCAGAACCCGCCGTATGCGCTAACCAGCTCGCTTCTAAGCACACAATGGCCGACTTGAAAACAGCACTGTTGTTCTTCTACGTTAAAAGTTCACGGGACGGAAGGGTCCGGCGTCTCACCCTTGCGAGGATGGCACGCTCCGTCACACCGCTTACGGGCGCTACGACGCCGCGTCACACACGCCGCGCTCCCAACGAGAGCCGGGGCGGCGAGTCGATCAAGTTGATCAATCGATATATTGGGGCCACCCCCACATCCTGCCTCCCGAAGTCGGGAAACCCCCTGTACAAGCCACGCCCAGTGTGACGCGGTCGGTGACGATGATGTCGATGATGTCACCAAGCCCCGCCCATCACCCTCCCACGGGAACCGAAGCGACACTTCTTTTGTTCTCCCGCTGTCTTCCTCACAACCCGATTGGTCGAGCGATCGAGTTCGTGAATCGGTCGAGTATCCGACGGCTTCAACAATCGATAGAGCCCAGTTCTGCGCTCCCTCCCCCTCCTTCCCCTCCACCCGGCCCCTTCCCTCCGCCGAAGCTACACGACGCCATGGCAGAGGCGCTATCGTGCGGCCGAGGAGACGGTGACGACGGTTTTCCCACGCGCGTGGCCCCTCTCCATCGCGTGCAAACCCTTCAGCACGTCCTGGAAGGGCAAAACCTTCTCTACGACGGGTCGGATCTGCGGGAGTGCAAGAGTGGGGAGGGGGGAAACATTTTTTTCTTTTTTTGTTTTTCACACCTGATGATGATTGCTTGTGTTGCAGTCGAAACGTCGTGAGAATTTTATTGTTTTATATTTTTATTATTTTATTGTTTAGCTTCTACGTGACTTTACCGAAAGAACCAATAATATCAATCAATTATCTTATATAGATTTACATAGTGCACGATTGTTAGAGCTTGTCACGATGTGAAACATGGCCCAGCCAGCGCAGTAAGTACGAGTTAAAAAGGCTTATGCACACTTCAATGGTTACGGTAATGCCCCTAAAGATAATAATGATCATAGTTACAAAACAAGGTGAGCCCTGATTAGCTGCCTGAATCTTGACACATCTGGTCAAGTATCCAAGCAGCCAATCCGCACCACCGATTAGCAAGGCAGGCTATGTTTGGTGCGAAAGAAGTTCACTATACATACATTAGGTATGAAGAAACATGGGCACTCGCATAAACGGAATGGGACCAAAGCTGAACAGTTCGCAAAGAAGTGTGGTGAAGCACAAACCTCGGAGTTACGACGAGAGAGGGGATTTATGGACGTCATATTCCCCGATTATCTAAATTATTTAGCTGCTATAAATTTCCAAGTGATAAGCCACTTCGTTGAGCTATCGCTTGTGGCCAGGTCGCTTCTGAAAAAATTAACCCGTAAAAACAAAGTTTTTCACTATAAATCCTTTATATGTGTGGCGGCTAGAGTCCTCTCGTCCTCTGGCTTGAGATGGCTGCCACCTATGGGTCAGATGATTGCATGGCAGCATTAAGTAATTGGTAATTAAATATAATATTT